CTCTGCTGTCCCCTGTGTTTGTTATACCAAACCTTCTTCAGCATCTGCTGAAACTCAAACCCTGAAAAACATCCACTCTTGAAAATAATCATCGAACAGCAGCTCCATGTTTTTGTACAGTGTTTCCACAGATATTTATCACTGTGTCTTTTGCACAGTAATACACAGCTGAGTCCTCTACTGTCACACCAGACAGTTTCAGAGACACCATGCTCTTGGAATCGTCTCTGGTGATTTCAGTTCTGCCTTGAAAAGATTTTGAGTAGTCATTGCTACTTCCATCATAATAAATGCATCCCATCCACTCCAGCGGTTTTCCAGCCTGTTGTCTGATCCAGTGCATGCTACAACAACCGAAGCTAAATCCAGATCCTCTACAGGAGAGACTCAGAGTTTCTCCAGGTTTTAGCTGAACTGCAGTTTGTAATGATTCCATACTTTGACATTTCACACCTGTTGAGACAAGTAATATATTTTTACCTACAAATTACATAATAATAATTATATGACTAAGAGATACAATCAATCAGGAACTCACTGCTGAAGCTGAGTAGTATCAGTAATAAGGAGAGTGTGTTCTTCATGGTGAGTGTTGATGAGACTCTACTGCTCCACTCAGCTCAGCAGCACATAAGTACTGGATGGAGCCACAACACACTGGATTTGCATCATGATGTCATTGGTGGAAATAAAATCTCAGTCATGGTGTTGTGATGGACGATCGCTACAACATAAAGAGGTCAAACCACTGTGAAACACTGAATTCCAGCATTAGTCGACAAATCTATCTGTCCAAATGTTTGTAGACACAAGCGCTTCTTCTGAAATGAAGGGCATTAATAGGATGTTTTTCTCTCTTTGCTGCAGTAAAAGCCTCCACCAAGAGTGCCTAGTGAGGTCAGGTACTGACGTTGGATGGTCTTGCCTGACTCTAAAACTAATATGTTAACCAATTTCACCAGATTGGTTTAATGCTCAGTTCTAAAGAAACGTGCTGAGTCAGAATAGTTCACAGTGGTGGTGATAGGAACCAGACGTCTATAGAGTTTGATGCCTCTAAAAGCTCCTTCACAGAAAGCAGTTACATGAAATAGAAATGATATGATGCTTCATGCCAGAAACATTCTTTTACGGTAGTTTTAAGATAATGTTTTGGCTTAAAACATATTTTAAAAAGTCGTTCACTGCAGAGAGGCACATGCAGGGTGTTGCGAGGTAAAAAGTTCCCAAAGAAAAAAAAATTGGATTTACCACCATTTTGCCATCATTATCATTACATATAAAAACTTAGAAGATGTGAAATGAAAACTGAGTCTGTAAGCAGCTCTACAATGAAACATTTCACATCAAATCACTCTGAATGACTTCCTTTACATCCCAATTATGATGAAAATGTCTACATCGGTTCAATTTCTGTTAACAGTAGCTGAATTAATTTATTAGATGGTCTGTCTGGATACTTTTGGAACAGTGACATCCATTCAAGCCGCTTAAAAAGAGACAGAAGAGAATATTATACTGGAATTTTGTCAGAAATGATCCACAAACAATTTGTATTGGCTTGATTTTCGTTTTTGTCTCCATTTTCTTTTACATTTTACAAATCCTGACACTTTTTAGTCATTTTATCCATGTTTACCTAGTTACTTCACTCCACTGCTGCCTCTGTTGTTTTTAAAATGGTGTTGTTCGTGTCTCTTGTCCACAGCTTGGCTCTATGCGTGAACGTTCTGGTGTGTTTGTCTCGTTATTTAGGATTTTGTCTGCTATGTATCTCTGATAATGTACTGGGTCTGTGGAGGATGTGTGTAGTTCACATTTGCACTTCATTTGTTGTACTCCAGCGCCCCCTGCAGTTCTTCTTACTCTTCTTTACATTTAAACTGTTCCCTCATCTACACTTTGCATTGTCTCACACAGTAGAAATACAGAAAGTCATTGTAGAATGGATGTTAAGGCATAATATTTTTTTCACTTGTCACTTTATGCATTATTTCTCTCTGGCAGATTCATGGACAGTTTTTAGTTTCCCCTTAGCACTTTATGTTCATGGTTATACGATTGTATGTAGATACATTTTCACTGCACATGTGTACATTTACTTATGCATATCTATTAATAATTGTATAGTTGTATCAATTGCATCAATTGTATACTGCACTGCGGCTAGTTTGGTTGTTTTGGGGGCCTTTTTGAGGCCTTAAAAGACCAGCAAGCAATGTGTGCCTGGAAACAAAAGTTCTTACTCATCATAGTAGCATTTAAAAAGGGCAGATTTTTAATGTTACATGTGAATAGTAATGTAATGAAGTATGAACTCCTCTGCGTCTGATATATAAAACTTTCATATGATGTGGAGCTTCTACATCAACATGAGAACAAATACACTATGATGAGGAAAGTGAAGCCTTAGTTAAACAGTGCTGTGAGTATAAAATGAAAGTCAGGATGTTTTTATGCCTAAAACTGGGATTATTTAGCAACCAGCAAGCTAAAAAAAACAGCTGCATGTTTTGTACAGTGTTTCCACAGATATTTTTCACTGTGTGTCTCTTGCACAGTAATACACAGCTGAGTCCTCTACTGTCACACCAGACAGTTTCAGATACAACATGCTGTTGGAATTGTCTCTGGTGATCTCAGTTCTGCCTTGAAAAGATTTTGCATAGTAACTGCCACTTGCATCATTATAAATAAATCCCATCCACTCCAGCGGTTTTCCAGCCTGTTGTCTGATCCAGTGCATGTTGTAGCCGCTAAAAGTAAATCCAGATCCTCTACAGGAGAGACTCAGAGTTTCTCCAGGTTTTAGCTGAAGTGCAGTTTGTAACGATTCCATACTTTCACATTTCACACGTGCTGAAACAAATACAGCAAATTGGTTAAATATTTTCATATTAATAATGTATTAATGCTGCGACACAGAGACACAGTTTATCAGTCAGGAACTCACTGCTGAAGCTGAGTAGTATCAGTAGTAAGGAGAGTGTGTTCTTCATGGTGAGTGTTGATGAGACTCTACTGCTCCACTCAGCTCAGCAGCACATAAGTACTGGATGGAGCCACAACACACTGGTTTTGCATCTTGATGTCATGGATGGAAATAAAATGGCAGTCATGGTGTTGTGATGGACGATCACTACAACATAACAACCTGTCCAAATGTTTGTAGACACCAGTGTTTCTTCTGAAATGAAGGGCATTAATAGGAAGTGTGTCCATTTTTGCTGCAGTAAAAGCCTCTACTAGGATATGATTTCATTCAGCCACAAAAGCATTAGTGAGGTCAGGTACTGATGTTGGATAGTCAGTTCTGGATCAGTCCAACTCATCCCAAAGGTACTGGATGGACCTCCATTTTACCATCATTAACATTACATATAAAAACTTAGAAGATGTGAAATGAAAACTGAGTCTGTAAGCAGCTCTTCAATGAAACATTTCACACCAAACCACTCTGACTTTCTTTACATCCCAATTATGGAGAAAATCTGACTATCGGTGAAAAGTCTGTTTAAAGTAGCTGAATTAGTTTATTAGATGGTCTGTCTGGATACTTTTGGAACAGTGACATACATTCAAGCCACTTAAAATGAGCTAGAAGAGAATATTATACTGGAAGTTTGTCAGAAATGATCCACAAACAATTTGGATTGGCTTGATTTTTGTTTCTGTCTCCCTTTTCTTTTACATTTTACGAATCCTGACACTTTTTATCCATGTTTACCTTGTTATTTCTCCTCTGCTGCCTCTGTTGTTTTTAAAATGGTGTTGTTTGTGTCTCTTGTCCACAGCTTGGCTCTATGCGTGAACGTTCTGGTGTGTTTGTCTCGTTATTTAGGATTTTGTCTGCTTTGTATCTCTGATAATGTTCTGGGTCTCTGGAGGATGTGTGTAGTTCACATTTGCACTTTGTTGCACTCCAGCACCCCCTGCAGTTCTTCTTACTCTTCTTTACATTTAAACTGTTCCCTCATCTACACTTTGCATTGTCTCACACAGTAGAAATACAGAAAGTCATTGTAGAATGGATGTTAAGGCATAATATTTTTTTCACTTGTCACTTTATGTGTTATTTCTCTCTGGCAGATTCATGGACAGTTTTAGTTCTTCCTTGGCACTTTATGTTCATGGTTATAGAATTTTATGTAGATACATTTTTACTGCACATGTGTACATATCTATAAATATGCATATATATTAATAATTGTATAATTGCTTCAATTGCATCAATTGTATACTACATTTTGGTTGTTTTAGAACTGAACAACATGCGAAATTTTGTTGGCAGAGCATGAAGCATTTGTGTTCTCGCACAAGTACGTTTCAGGCCTCAAACTACCAGCATGCAATATGTGCTTGGAAACAAAAGTTCTTATGCATCAAAGTAGCATTAAAAAAAGGGCCGATTTATATCATAACTGCTACTGTAATGACACTCTCACTGTGCACTTTACCCTGTAATATTTCTGCAACTCATAGTTATGTCTGTACTCATTGTGCTTTTAGACTACCTCATTCCGCTCAGTACCTGCTATCATGTAAATACAAAAAATCTGTCTCATATTAAATGTAAATATGCAAATAGATATAATTTTATTTCTACTTTCTTATACTTATGTCTATTTTTATTTCTATTTTTAATTTTCTGCATAGTATATGTAAGTTTATCTGTAATTATATGTCTTGCTACTGAAACACTCAATAAAGTTCTATCTGTCTATCTATCTATCTATCTATCTATCTGAATAGTAATATAATGACATATAAACTCCTCTGCGTCCAATTCATCTAACTTTCATATGATGTGGAGTTATTACATCAACATGAAAAAACATATGGTATTATGAGGAAAGTGAAGCCTTATTTAAACTATGCTGTATGAAACAAAAGTCAGGAAGTTTTTATGCCTAAAACTTATTTTAGGCATAGGATTATTTAACAACCGGTAAGCTGAAAAGCAGCTTCATGTTTTTGTACAGTGTTTTCACAGATATTTGTCACTGTGTGTCTCTTGCACAGTAATACACAGCTGAGTCCTCTACTGTCACACCAGACAGTTTCAGATACACCATGCTGTTGGAATTGTCTTTGGTGATTTCAGTTCTTCCTTCAAAAGGCTTTGAGTAGTCATTGTCACTTCCATCAGTATAAACATATCCCATCCACTCCAGCGGTTTTCCAGCCTGTTGTCTGATCCAGTTCATGCCGTAGTCTCCAAAGCTAAATCCAGATCCTCTACAAGAGAGACTCAGAGTTTCTCCAGGTTTTAGCTGAACTGCAGTTTGTAAAGATTCCATACTTTCACATTTCACACCTGTTGAAACAAGTCAAATATTTTCTTATTAATAATGTATTAATGCTGTGACACAGAGATATAGATTATCAATCAGGAACTCACTGCTGAAGCTGAGTGGTATCAGTAATAAGGAGAGTGTGTTCTTCATGGTGAGTGTTGATGAGACTCTACTGCTCCAATCAGCTCAGCAGCACATAAGTACTGGATGGACCCACAACACACTGGATTTGCATCATGATGTCATGAATCGAAACAAAATGTCAGTCATGGTGTTGTGATGGAGGGTCACTACAACATAAAGAGGTTAAACCACTGTGAAACACTGAATTCCAGCATTAGCTGACAAAACTATCTGTTAAAAGAGGAACATGCAGGTGTTGTGAGGCAGAATAGTTGCTAAAGAAAACTTTTTCTTAGATTTACCACTATTTTATGATTATTAGCATATAAAAAAACACATGCAGTTTCACTGGTGGTTTGGGATAGTAAATAAAATGGCTATATTTGTGTTGTAGACATGGCGACCCCTGGTCCCTGGTTCAGGTCAGCACTGTGAAGAAATCTTAATCTGTAAGTTTCTAAACCATTTACACATCAAGCCACTGTGAATTACATCTCAGTGATTCGTGTATGCAGAAATAAAAACATTGGAAAAATATTCCCCTTTAAAGTAGCTGAATTCATGGATACTTTTGGACAGATAATGTACTTCCAGTCCATTTCTAATGAGCTAGAAGAGAATGTCATTATGGAATTTTGTCAGAAATGCTTTGCAAACAGTTTGAATTGGCTTGGATTTCATTTTTGGCTCATTTTGCTTTGAAATCTTATAAATCCTGACCATTTGTTGTCTTTTTTATCCATGTTTTCCTTGTTATTTCACTCCACTGCTGCCTCTGTCGTTTTTAAAGTGGTGTCGTTTGTGTCTCTTGTCCACAGCTTGGCTCAATGTATGAAAGTTCTGCTGTGTTTGTTTTATTATGTAGGATTTGCTCTGCTTTGTATGTCTGATAATGATCTGGGTCTCTGGAGGATTTGTTATTGTCACATTTGCACTTCATTTGTTATACTTATTTAATTACATAAGTGTTGTACTTATTTAATGATCTAATAATTATGTATTAATAATTATGTGACAGAGATACAGTTTTTATTTTGTGGGCTGAGTGAGTAGTATAAACCACACAAGTGTAATATGTCTGTAAATGGCATATAAAATAGTTTATACCAATGTGTATGTAATATGTATTATGAACAAATTCTTAGCATTACTATTATTTTCTTTTTTTATTCTCATTATTGTTATTATAGATGACATTGATAATAGTTTGGCTATGTAATCCCAAATGGTGAGTTGATCGTACTGTTACCCCAAAGATGGAACTGATAAGAACAAAACTGTTGGTGAAATTTGCATACGCACATTTTACAATCCAATTAGATCGTATGCGTCTTTGATGAACAAGAGCCAGTGTGTTGAATTGATCTTAAAGACGGCCAGCTTAGGTAGGGTTTATATCAGTGTACAGAAAAAAGCTGTATTTCTAAAACTGTAGCTCAGTAAGCTACCAGTTAGTCTGTGTTAGTCTGTAGAAGTCAACTGGTAGAGAAGCTACTATTAAGGAAGCAGTTTACTTGCCAAAAAGTTTCACATCAATATAAGAAAAATATATATTAAGGAGTAAAATATACATCATACATCATCATCATCTAAACCGCTTATCCTTCTGGGTCGCGGGGGGGTGCTGGAGCCTATCCCAGCTGTCATTGGGCGGAAGGCAGGATACACCCTGGACAGGTCGCCAGTCCATCGCAGGGCAGACAGACAGACATACACATTCACACACTCACTCACACCTAGGGGCAATTCAGCATGTCCAATCAGCCTGACTGCATGTTTTTGGACTGTGGGAGGAAACCGGAGTACCCGGAGGAAACCCACGCAGACACGGGGAGAACATGCAAACTCCACACAGAAATGACCCTGGTCGCCCGGCCGGGGCTGGACATGCATACGGAGTAAAATATACGGAGTAAAATATACACTTACTAATTTATTTAAACTAAACTACACAAATGACAGGAGATTTTAATCTCTAAAACATGGGTGTTTTATAGTTTATCAAGTTGAAAAGCAGCTCCATGTTTTTGTACAGTGTTTGCACAGATATTTATCACTGTGTGTCTCTTGCACAGTAATACACAGCTGAGTCCTCTACTGTCACACCAGACAGTTTCAGAGACACCATGCTGCTAAAACCGTCTTTGATCATTTCTATTCTTCCTTGAAAAGACTTTGCATAGTTATTTCTACTTCCACTGTAATAAACATATCCCATCCACTCCAGCGGTTTTCCAGCCTGTTGTCTGATCCAGTGAAAGCCATAGTCTCCAAAGGTAAATCCAGATCCTCTACAGGAGAGACTCAGAGTTTCTCCAGGTTTTAGCTGAAGTGCAGTTTGTAATGATTTTAGACTTTGAAATAAGTAGAATATTTACTTATTAATAATGTATTATGCTGTGACACAGAGATACACTTATCATTCAGGAACTCACTGCTGAAGCTGAGTAGTATCAGTAATAAGGAGAGTGTGTTCTTCATGGTGAGTGTTGATGAGACTCTACTGCTCCACTCAGCTCAGCAGCACATAAGTACTGGATGGACCCACAATACAGTGGATTCACATCGTGATGTCATGGATGGAAATAAAATGTCAGTCATGGTGTTGTGATGGACAATCACTACAACATAAAATGGTTAAACCACCGTGAAACACTACATTCCAGCATTAGCAGGCAAAACTATCTGTTAAAAGAGGTATATGCAGGGTGTTGTGAGGCAAAATATTTGCCAAAGAAAACTTTTTTTTTAGATTTAGCATTATTTTATGATTATGAACATATAAAAACACATGTGTAGTTTCACTGATGGTTTATTTTATTAAATAAAATGGCTATATTTCTATATTTGTGTTGTAGACATGGTGACCCCTGGTCTCTGTTTCAGGTCAACACTGAAAAGAATCTTAATCTGTAAGTTTCTATACAATAAACCATTTAAACACCAACACTGTGAACTACATCTCAGCGATTACATTCCCAATCCCAAAGTACGTTCTGCACATGTGTGTTTGTTTATAACGTTCAACATGGCGAGAGACAAAATTTATGGGCTTTAAAAGATGGCAGTGGGACGTGTGTCCAGCTTATGTGTCTCAGAATACGACGTCTTCCTCTCGGCCTTCTTTAATAAGTACATATGAAGTATGTTTTCCTCAGTCTGACATCATTTTAAAGTATTTAAAAACACAAGTGCGCCAGTTTAAAAGGTACCAAACTGCTGCTCATCTCACTCTGACTGGACTCACGTGATGCTGGTTGACATGGTAACGTCCACACTAAGTGGTACTGAAGTGGTATGGAATACCTGTAGTGCGCATGTAAACGGAGATTTTCCATCAGGTTGAATAAAGTGCACATAAACATCTCAGTCTTAATCTATAATCAGACTGTATTTAATCAGACTGGCCAAAATCTTTGCATGTAAATGTAGCCAGCCCTTTAAAGTAGCTGAACTCATGGACACTTTTGGACAGATAATCTACTTCCAGTCCAGTTCTAATGAGCTCGAAGACAATGTAATAATGGAATTTTGTCAGAAATGATCCACAAACAATTTGGTCGGCTTGATTTTCATTTCATTTTGCTTTTAAATCTCATGAATCCTGACTGTTTCTGTTGTAATTTTATCCATGTTTACCTTGTCATTTCACTCCACTGCTGCCTCTGTTGTGTTTAACATGGTGTTGTTTGTGTCTCTTGTCCACAGCTTGGCTCTTCTTGTGAAAGTTCTGCTGTGTTTGTCTCATTATTTAGGATTTTGTCTGCTATGTATCTCTGATAATGTACTGGGTGTGTGGCAGATTTGTGTAGTTCACGTTGGCACTTCATTTGTTGTACTCCAGCGCCCCCTGCAGTTCTTCTTACTCTTCTTGGCCTTTAATCTTTTCCCTTTACTCAACTACACTTTGCATTTTCTCACACCGAGTAGAAGATTTTTGCCACTTTAAAAAAAAAATCACTTTCTACTTTATGTACGATTTTTCATGTGGCATTTTATGGTCCTGTCCTACATTGTCAGTGTACATGCATGAATGTATTCATAATTCTACATTTGTGTACTTCACAGTTGCTATTTTTGTTGTTTTTAGAACACATCATCACATAAAACCCTGTTTGTGGAGCTCAAAGTGTTTGCATTCAATGAGTATGTTTCAGGCCTTAAAATGCCCAGCATCAGCAAAGTGGTGGGTCCATAGGTAAAGAGTCCAACACAGAGCTGCCATTGTTGTCCATGCTTAACATCTAACTGAAACTGGTTTGTATTCAGTTTGTGACATATCTAGAACTTCCAGAATGTTCTAGAGTGGTATTCTTTCTCACAACATTGATCTCACCATTGGAAAACAGTTGATTCACTGTTAGTGGTTAATCTGACATGTTAGGCCTTCAGTTCAGCTCCTGAAGGCCTAACCAATGCATGAGCTCGCTTGGCTGTTTCTGCCAAGACACCACAGAGAAAACAGCCCTGACTGAACGAAGTCAGAATTCACAAGACAAATAAGAACTTTGATACATAACAAATATTATATAATAATAAGTAATAAAAGTGTATCTCACACATTACAGAAAATATAACTAATTTGTGGCAGAATTAGATTTTATACATGTCAGATAACGTTGTTTACTACTGTTAATAACTTCTTTACTTGTTTAAATTAGATTTCTGATATTGAGAAATTGTGGAAAATCCTTTTCATATAAAACACTGTCATTGTAGGATGAGTCAGTGGCTTGCAAAAATTTGGGCACCCATGATTAAAATAGGTTTTGTTAAATTTCTAAGTGGAAAAAAGTGAAGATATCCTCTACAGAGAACACACTTCTGCACACTTTAATGCACAATTACTGATAATTTACTGAATTTAATACAAAAACAAAAAATAAAACATAAATTGTGACCTGTGCACATTTTGGTTTTTTTTTCCAACATTTTAGACATTTCATTCCTGATTCCTGATGTTATTTTGTATTTTGTTTTATAGCACAGCTGCTTGTATTATTCTATAGTTTGATTAAAATTAGTAAAACAGTTGTGTGAAGATAAGCAAAACCCTTCAGTGTCTAAAGCTTTGAGTGGTTGTGGACTCAGAAGAGTGCCCTGTGGATCTCATGCTCTGCTTGTTCTGCTGTTACTGCATCTGTCAAGGCTTGAATTCTAATTCGGTTGGTCAGTCACTGTGTCTCAAGATCTGTTTCATATCATACTGACAGCGTTCTGCTGTGAACATCTGTTAAACTCCTGAGTTAGAACGCTTCTGCTTCCTGCAGCTGCTCTCAGAACGGTTTCTAGTATTTCTCTGACAAAAAAAACTTCATGTTAATAAATCTATAGAACTTAAAAGCAGAATCATAAGGCTTTAACTTCACATGAAGACACTGAAGTCATTCTATCTTTCTCACCCTCACAATTTATAGGCTTCCTTCATTTATTTTTAATTAAGCTTTAAATTATAATATTAGCTCATTGCATTATTGTAATGTTTTGTTTGCTTGATTTGTTTTGCAGGTTTTGCCCAACATAATGATTTTCTATGTGCTCTATAAATAAATATGACTTGACTAATCAGATCAGACAAAATGTGAATAATTCTCAAATCATAAAATATGTTTATTTTCTTATTAAATCATATTTATTGTAAATTTCATTATATAAATATATTTTTTATTTTTATATAAAGACACCTCTTCTTATCTATTTTTCTAACATTAATGAAGATGTGTGTGTGTATATATATATATATGTGTGTGTATATATATTCACACATATATATATATATATATATATATACATATACATATATATGTGTATATATGTGTATGCATATATATTATATATATATTATATATATATATATATATATGTTGCAGTAATGCTATTTTATCAAATTCATTGCACTAGAATAAAGACTTTTTAATAATCTTTTGTTTGTTTGAACTGTTTTGCAGTTTTTCTACAACACTTGTTGATTTTAAACATGCTCTATAGATAAATATCACTTGACTTATAATGCATATTACAAAATTTGAATAATAATCAAATGATAAAATGATCAATTATTGTAAATTCTATAATACAAATGAATTTTTAAGCTTAATATGAAGAAGTTGATTTAGCTCCATGTTATAAATGTATCTAAACTTCATAAAAGGATTTATTCGCTTTATGCTTTTCAATAATGTAATTCTAACTGCGTTGTTAAATTATTACATTGCAATAGAACACATGATTAATTTGAGTAATATTTAAAATGTGTCAATATTGCATTACATACTTCATTTTATTTTTGTCACAGATATGAAGATGACTTCTGATCTCAGTGGTATAATGAGGTATGATGATGATAGTTTTACTGTGACCAGAAACAGAAAACACAGGTGAAGTGTGACGCGCTTAAAGAACAGATGCATCCTGTTTCTGAGAAGTTCATTAACCATGACCAAGCTTTCAGTAATATACATATATAATACACCAGTGAAGTATCATTATGATTATTAGTAGTAGTAGTAGTTTTTATTATTATTTTTATTATTATTAATTAGTAATGAGTCAATGAGTCTTACAATTTGTTCATGTAATACATTAACCTGTATTACAACCAACTGTAATAAACATGCAATAAACTTGATTTACTGTGCAAAACTTAGAGACCCTTCATTTACTGAATTCACAGTCAAAAAGTCATTCAGTACAATTTATTCATTTTTCATATATTTATGTCATATATTGCCATATATAACAACTGGATATATGATCAGTTATTCACTATTTAGTGTGTCCACCCTTTATCTTTATCACAGTTTCCATTTTCAGGAGACTTGCTTTTTTGTTTTTTGAAGAAATCTGCAGGGATATGTTTCCACATCTCCAAAGTTCAGTCTTAGACACTTTCTGCACTGTGTAATTCCAAAAACATTCACTGTGTAGTTACTACTACACTGCCTGATGTCTACCACACTGTTTTATGATAGATTAGACACAGTTTTTGGACCAAAATATACATTTTTAAAATCCACTTCTGGTGGAACGGTACAGTGAGGGTATTGTAAGGCAAAGTAGTCTTTAATAAAATTATTCTTTTTTTTTGATTCACCAGTGTTTCATTATTATGAAATTTACATATAAAAACTCAGAGAATGTGTAGGTTCACTGCTTCTGATGTTCCCCCAAGTTGTCCATTTTCTCCTTGGTGTAAGTCTGACCGGTTCATACATCGTCATCTTAGCTGAGTCCGGCACACAGCATCCACGCTCAGGCTGACTTTTCATGTTAGGTGGGTTGTTGGCCTGTTAGCATGTTATCTAATGGTCAGTCTACTGCAGCCCTGTTTCCAAAAAAGTTAGGATGCTGTGGAAAATGTAAATAAAAACAGAAAGCAATGATGTGCAAATCATTTAAACTCCATATTCAATTGAAAATATTACAAAGACAACATATCAAATTATGAAAGTGAGAAATTTTATTGTTTTTTTGAAAAATATAGGCCGTCAGGCAGCA